CTTTTGAGAAATATGCCTCAGAGATTTCAAAAATGGTGTATGTTATCAACAACGATTGTTTAACGAAAAAATGTAAAAACTAACTTAAAATGTTGGAACCACTTACAATTGTGCAAAAATCTCGAACAAAGTGAAAAATTGATAAAAAATTTGAATATTATTAATTGAGCAGAAAAAGAAGATTAGACAAACTCAGATTTGTAAATCTGAATAGCGAATGAATTCCATTACCAAAAACATCTCCATTTATACATTTTTTTTTCACTCCGTCGAAAGATTCAAATTTAGTACGTGCAATTAAAATCAAAATAAACAAATTTTGCGTCAAAATGCATACGAAGAAATGTGTTAGGAAGTTAATTGATACAATTATCACAATGAATCACTTCGAATGTTATCTATTTTAATAGACACTGGAATAAATAGAGTGATAAAATTTAAAAATGCAGCGTGTAAACCCAATATTCTATCGTAATCGTTTCTGTTTTGTTGGCGAGATAATAATTTTGGTGTAAAATTCAAAAAATTCAAATATTTTTATTGTATAATAGATATTGTTTAGCTTGTGTCTGGAAAATGCATGGGGTAGAGCACTATGAATATAATTATTCTAGTACTAACACGTGTATCACTCAAATTGGCACATATTCAGACGTTCGCCATTTCAACAACAAACACTCAATATTAAATTCTTTTTTATTGGTATAAACCTTTATTTATAGGCTATCGAATAGCACATTTGCATTTCACTTAATGGACCATTGTCTTCGATTTTTCTCAGTATGCGTCGAACCTTCAAAATTATGTTCTGGACAACCGATTTGTCGATTTCTATCATTTGTACATTTTAACGACGTATACACTGGAGGTGTACGTAATTTAAAAAAAAAATCCGTAAATCGAACTTTTTTGATTTTTGAACTTTTGGCTCCAGATAGTGACCCGATGAAAATTTTTCAAATCTGATGGGTGATTTGAATTGTACATATTTTGTACATTTTAACGACGTATAACTTTGGTGTTGTACAAATTCGGGCAAACATTTTCCGGGTTTTGATATTTTCAATTTTTAAAAATCCAAATTCTGAAAAATTTTTGTTGGTACATAATCATAAAAATTGTTGTACATAATTGTACATAATTAGTACATTTTAGTAGTATATACGATTTTTCGAAAATTGACATCGACCGGAAATTGACTACCTATCCAAAATTTCTTTTATCCTCAAATTTTATTGCACCTGTGAAAGTTTTTTGCTGTGATCTTTTCCATTTGACAATTGACAGTCAAAGATGCACGAAAATTCGCATTCAGTATTAAATGGTATTACTTGGTATTATTTTGCGGTACAAGTTTTTCGGTATTATCGTAGTACTAGAATAATTATATTCATACTGATCTACCCCATGGGAAAATGTCTCTGGTTAAACGGCAAAGAGAAGTAAAATCTAGTCGCAAATTTAATGCGTTTATGTAATGAAGTCATTTGGTTTTTTCTTAGACGTCTGTCTTAAAAATACTCTTATCAGTCATTTGATATTAACCTTCAATTTTGCGTGTATTTCATTTAAACACAGTTTAGTTTGGTCTACGTTGAAGTACTTTTAGTACTGTCATTTATGTAAACAGAATAGTTGGTGCAATTTTCATTATAAACAATGATTACATCAATCTAAGGGGAGGGGGCTTAGGTTAGCGAGTCCATTGAACTCACTTGCCTTTCCATTCTTTGACCGTGAACTTGATGATCTAAAAATGATGTAATAAAAGTGAAATGCAATAATTTATCGTTTCTCCGTATTGTTGACATTTTCTCGCTGAGACGTCTGGTGACGAAATAGAATTCTATTCCGATCTCATTATCGCATTGGATTTTATGGTTATTGTTGCTTTAGCTTGCCATATAAACAACATCTTTAAGACTGAACACGCCATCATTACATATCGTGTATTGAGTAAGCACAAATTAGCCGGCGTACTTACGCCGAACACCGGTGTTTGTTTGCATCATCTAAATACGGTGAACCATTTTATAGCCATTCAATTGTGATGTTGCGATTGCAGTTATAAAAATATCCGTTCTTTTTGTTTTGTTCGTTCAAAGGCATGTGAAATAATAGACACAAAAACAAAAACAAAAATGTCATTCATTCAAGATCAAAAGAATAAAGCTGTATATGAACACCCAGTATTTGCAGTCATGTACTTAGAGATGTCTGTCTTTGATTTGTTCTTCATGTAACTTTGGACTCACAACCTCTCCCGAATTTCTCTCTATAATTATTGATGTTCAGATGTCTTTGTGCATCCATTCTATCACCAAATAAAAATTCACTTTTTTCCACTTGTACCTACCAATAAATCCAATAAAATACGTGTATCATATTGTCATTTTCGTTCTTTCCTGAAAACTTTTCTTAAATTATTTCTGTGATTCAGCTTTAAATCATTTATAAAGAAAAGATAGTACTACAAAAGAGCTATGAATGCTATTTGGAATTTAAAACTTAGAGCCGCTACAATAAGGCGCCCTTTTCTGTGAGAAAAAAGAATGTTCACATGCTATAACTTCTTACCGCTCTTCACATATTACACAAAACTTTTAAAAAATATTTGAACATGCTGACACCTCTGCACCATTTATGTACAGATGAAACTTAAAATATATAAATCAAATGTTTTCAAATGGACCATTTGCAAACAATACATTCGATTAGAAATAATCATTTCTTATTTTTGCGATTTTTGATATGTAAAAAACGTTTCTTAAACTAAATGAAAATTGTATGGAATTTCAGTCAAATCAAGCCAAACTACTTTTGTTTTTAGTTAATGCCGACGTTTCGAATGTTGATTTTATTCTTCTTCAGGGCTATAGTTATAAATGAAATAATATAAACAAATCGTTCGCTTATCAAAATATTAAGACACAAAAATTAGATAATACCTAAACCATTACTGCGTAATTTGTTGTCAAATTAAATCGAAATCTACAAAACTGTGTGTAATCGAGCATCTTGGATGAGAAACATTAAAAACCTAATTGAATGTGTAATGACAGTCCAATGTCAAAAAGGCTACCACAGCGACATCATAATGACAGCACCAATTTCAAGCATTTAAAACATTATTAAAGGAACTAAATAACTTATTGTATATGTTGCTTATATTACGTGATTCAATACTACGAGTGTTTACACAATTTACAGATGTTTTGATGTACATTTCTTCTAATAAAAATCTCTTCTGCGTGTGTGAAACATGCATTAAAATTTTAGTTTGATCAAAATCGAAATCATGGTTGTTATCAATAGCGTGATAGGCTAATGAACTTTTGTTCGTTTCGTTGTTCGTACAAGTACGCATATGTTGTTTTAAACGTTCTTTCAACGACTGTCCTGTGTTTCCAATGTACCAATTGTTGCGGCAATGTTTGCATGGAATGCCATAAATCACATCATATTGTTTATCCAATGGAATGTCATCTTTCATTTGAGTGAAAAATTTATTCACATTGTTAGTTGTTTTGAAAGCAATTTGGCAATTGATCTTCGATGAAATGATTTTTGATAGTCGCTCGGACACCATTGGAATGTACTGAAATGAATAGAAATTTTTGTTATTTGTCTCATTATTTGTTGTGTTCAACATATTCAGATCCGTAGGTCTATTAGAATATTTGGTGCATAATCTGTTTATCAAACTCTTTGGAAAATCGTTCTTTCTGAGTAATTCCATAATGGTGTGCTTAGTATTGTTGATAGTAGCACCACTGGTGAGCCGAATCACTCTATCTATTACTCCCATCGCTGTTCCAATCTTATTTTTCATCGGGTGAAAGGAATTATAGTTTAAAATCCTTCCACTTGAGATAGGCTTTCTATACCACTCCGTGCTTAAAACTCCATTCAAATCCCGTTTAATTAAAATGTCCAAAAACGGTAATCTGTTCTCAACCTCCATTTCAATTGTAAATTGAATGTGTTCATTAAAACTGTTGAAAATAGCTAGTACTTCATAAATCAAGTTCGAAGGTACAATGGCACAGATGTCATCCACATATTTCTTCAACAATCTGATATCATAATCCAATTCCCTTTTTATGGCCGAAATTGCTTTTGATAAAATATCATCCATCAAAATTTCAGTGATAATACAGCTTATTGGACTACCCATTGGGGTACCAAAAATTTGCTTATAAACTTGACCTTTATACATGAAATAGCTATTGTTCGTGCATAAATCAAAAAGTTTTAAAAATTGGTGCTTTGGTAATTTTGTCAACTGCTGTATTTCAGGCCATCTACGGCTGATAATTTCTCTAATATCACAAATTGGTGCATTTGTAAAAAGAGAAACCACATCCAAAGATATCAGCTTCTCGTTTGAATTAATTGTATACGTTGTAATGCAATCTTTAAAATCATACGAATTTCTAACGAAGAACGGTGATTTAGGTAATTTGCCGAGAATTGTGGCCAAAAATTCAGCTGATTTTCTTGTTGGTCCATTTATATCCGCTACGATCGGTCTAAGGGAAAGTGTTGGTTTATGGCACTTCGGTAAAAAATAAGCTCTTGGGGCTATTGCCGTGTATGTTGTTAATTTACGTTTGGTATTAAAATCAATACTTTGAGTTTCAAAAAGTTCCTTGACAACAGTGTTGTTCATTCTTTGAATCGTTGATGTCGGATCCGTAATAATTTTATATGTGTTAGTATCACCAAGCATTTCATCTGTGAGTACTTGATGTTGATCAGCCAACATAAAAGCAGTTTTCGCCCCCTTATCAGACTTTAATACAAGTATTTCCGGATGTTCGTTGAAAAATTCTTTCGTTTTATTCTGAAGGCTAATGAAATACTTTTCTTCTGGACTTGTTTGTCGACAAATAGCTGAATGTAGAATATTAGAGACATCGTGGCGTAAAATGTCACTTGTATTCTCATCCTCACAATCTTTGAGTGCAATTTCAATATCCGCTACCATTTTAAATGTTATCTCTTTATTCAATTGTATTGGTAAATTGAACTTCGGGCCCAAACCACATAAAAGCTTGACCTCATTTGGAATATCAATGTTGGTTAAATTGTGTGTGAATTCCATGGCAGAGTTACTTATGTTGTTGTTAAGTTGTACTTGCTTGAGGGCATTCAATTTATCATTTAATTTATGCATTGATGTATTATGACATTTAATTTGTTTG